ACTGAGGAGGACCTGAAGTGCTTGTTGCAGAAAGTCAAGGACTGCAGTCTTCTATATGGATTGAAGCTCAATATCAAGAAAACAAAGATTCTCACCACTGGGCCAATTGGCAGTGTCAGTATGGATAGTGAAGAGATTGAGATAGTTAACAGTCTTAGTTTGCTTGGTTCCACAGTCAACGCTCTTGGTAACAGCAGCCAGGAAAGTCAGCTGTGAGGGAAATCTCAAGAGTACTGAAAAGCAATGATGTCAGGCTGGTGACTAAGGTGTGCCTGATCCAGGCTATAATCTTTGCAATTATGTGCTATGCATTGGAGAGTTGGACAGTGAACAGGGATGACAGAAAGAGAATTGATGCCTTTGAGCTGTGGTGCTGGAGAAGAGTGTTGAATATACCATGGACTGCTAGAAGAATAAACAGGTTTGTCCTGGAGAGGGTGAAGCAAGAATGCTCCTTGGAGTCAAGGATTGTGAAGCTTCGTCTGACATAGTTTGGGCATGTTGCAAGGGGGGACATCATGTTTGGGAGAGTGGAGGGACGGCACAGGAGAGGAAGTCCTGTAGTGAGATGGATCGATTCTGTGAGTGGAGTGGTGGGAATGAGTGTGTTTGAGACAGCGAGGTTGGCACAGGATAGAAAGGCGTTTATTGCTCTTGTATGTAGGGTCATGTGAGTCGCAAGCGACTCGATGGCACATAACAACAACAGGTTAATCCATCTCATAGAGAGTTTCTTTACTTTTGATGACCATCTGTTTTACTAACCATGATGTCCTTTTCTGATGACATGTCTGAAGTAGGCAAGATGAAGTCTCACTATCCTCGCTTCTAAGGAACATTCTGGTTGTATTTTTTTCTCAAATGGAAATTGTAAGAACTGTCATATTCAGACTGTGTTGTGGAACAAGAGGAATTGTTGATTCCACATAAATCTTGGCTGAAGGTAGAATGTATCAGAAAGATGTTTATCTGTGTTTTATTGATGGTACAAAGAAATTCCACATAGTAGTTCACAGCAAATTTTAGGAAACATAAAGAATAGAAATTCTAAAACACTTTTGTACTTATATGGAACTTTTACATAAATTAAGAGTTACTTGATAAGAACGAGGAGAATTTAAAGTTGACAAAGATGTGCTTCAAATTTGCATTGTTTAGTCATACTTATTCAGTCTTTATGTTGAATAAGTAAGAAATTGGACTTTATGCAAAAGAATGTAGCATCGTGATTAGAGGAAGGACTCATTAATAAACTTCAATATCTAAGTGCCACAACCTTGCTTGCCAAAACTTAAAGCATATTGAGGCATTTACTGGTAAAGGTCAAGGGCTACATGCTTATACAAGAGCAAAAGGAAAATAAAAATTCTCATACTTCGGCCAAAAAGCAACATAATGATAAATGGTGAAGAAATTGAAGATGTCAAGAATTGCATTCTACCTGGATCCACAAGCAACAGCTATGTAAGCAGCAATCAAGAAATGCCTTGCCATGTTGAAAAAGATGATTTATCAACAGTTTAAAAAACAAAGAGGTCACTTTTTGGCCAAGTGTTTGGTGGGAACATTGGTGTTTTCAGTCAACTCCTGTAAAGGCAGAAGCTGGAGAACGTAAAAGGAAGATGGAAGAAGTTAATTAACAAAGTTGAATTGTGATATTTGTGAAGACTATTGAATATACCATGAACTTTCAGAAAAATAGAATATATTTGGAGGGAGAACAACCACAGTGCTTCATAAGAGTGAGGCTTATGTACATGTGAAGCATAATTTAAATACATACATACATACATACATTTTTTATTTTCTTTTAATTCTTTTTCTGCATGTGTACCGTCAAATAGGAGGAGATTGACCCTCCGTCTCCAGAAGAGCCATCTGGTGGATTTGAAACACATACCTCTGGGATTGCAATGCAACTTTTTTCCACTAGGCCACTAGAGTTCCCTTAAATAAATAAATATTTTAAAATAGTAAAACCTTAAATATAAAAAAGAGTGAGATTTATGAAACTTTATCTCATTTACTTTGGTAATGTCATCAGGAAAGATCCAGTTAGAACATCATAATTTGGTAGAGCGCAAAAAGGAGGGATGTCATCAATGAAGTAAATCATAGAGGCTCTATATATGGATTCAAACAAACCAATGATTGTTGGGATGACACAGGACTGGGCAACAATTAATTGTTCCACATATAAGGCCATTCTCACTGAGAACTCACTAGACGGCAGCTAACAAAAGCAATGGCAGATATGTTTAGATCAGGTAATCTTAAAAGACAATGTTGATTTGCTGTTTTTGAAAATGTCAACAGTTTTTAAAACATTGTAAAACTTTTTTGCTTGGAGAGATATTTTCTGTTGATAATCTACACTTTCCGATTTTATAATTTCTGAGTTGTGGGAGGATATCAAGGGTATCATCCAGGAAGAGTGCAAACGGTCATTGCAAAGATGGAAGAGGAAGAGAAGACCAAAATGGATGTCAGAAGATACTCTGAAAATTGTGCTGGAGTGCAGAGAAGCCAAAGCACAAAGAAGAATTCAAGATACTAAAGAGTTGAGTAGAAGATTTCAAAAGGCAGCACAGGATGACAAAGTAAAATATTACAATGAAATGCAAGGAGTTGGAGTCAGAAAATCAAAAGGGCTGAACTCGCTCAGCGTTTCTTAAGCTCAAGGAACTGAAGAACACATTCAAACCATGAGTTGTTATAATCAAGGATACTTCCGGCAGAATATTAAATGATCCAGGAAGTATTAAAAGAAGATGGAAAGAATATACTGATTCACTGTATCGAAAGGAATTAGCAGACACAGAAGAATTTCATGAAACAACATATGAGCAGGAGCCGATGGTGATGAAGGAAGAAGTTCAAGCTGCTTTGAAGGAAATAGCACAAAATAAGGCCTCAGGAATAGATGGTATACCAATTGACATATTTCAGCTAACAGATGCTGCCCTGCATGTGCTCACCAAGTTGTGCCAAGAAACCTGGAGAACCACCACTTGGCCAACTGACTGGAAGAGATCTATATTTGTTCCCATCCCAAAGAAGGGTGACCCAACAGAATGTGGAAACTATAGAACAATATCATTAATTTCAAATGCAAGGATGATTCTCAAAACAACTGGAACAACACGTCAGCAGAGAACTGCCAAAGTCCAGGCTGGGTTTATAAGGGTTTGTGGTACTAGGGATATTGTAGCTCATGTTAGATGGATCTTGGCTGAAAGCAGGGAATACCAGACGAATGTCTATCTGTGTTTCATTGACTATGCAAAGCCATTTGACTGTGTGGATCATAACAAGCTGTGGCTGACTCTGAGAAGAATGGGAATCCCAGAACACTTGATTGTTCTAATGTGAAACCTATACTTGTACCAAGAGGCAGTCGTCAGAACAGAGCAAGGAAACACTGCATGGTTCAAAATGGGAAGGGTATATGCGTCCTATCTCCATACCTTTTCAACCTGTATGCAGAACAGATTATCTGGGAGTCTGGGCTCTATGAGGAGGAATGTGGAGTCAAGATTGGTGGAAGATCTATCAACAGTCTGCGATATGCAGATGATAGAACCCTGCTTGCTGAAAGTGAGGAGGACCTGAAGCGTTTGGTGTAGAGGGTCAAGGACTGCAGTCTCCAATATGGATTGAGGCTCAATGTCAAGGAGACAAAGATTCTCACCACTGGGCCAATTGGCAGCATCAGGATGGATGGTGAAGAGATTGAGATTGTTCACAGCTTTAGACCCTTTGGCTCCACAGTCAACACTCTCGGCACCAGTAGCCAGGAAATTAAAAGACGTATTGCGATGGGAAAGTCTGCTGTTAGAGACCTCTCCAAAGTACTGAAGAGCAATGGTGTCTCTCTGGAGACTAAGGTGCATCTGATACAGGCCATGGTCTTTGTTATCACTTGTTATGCATCAGCGAGTTGGACAGTGAATAAGGAGGATAGAAGGGGAATTGATGCCTTTGAGTTGTGGCGCTGGAGAAAAGTATCCTGGAAAGGGTCAAACCAGGGGGCTCCTTGGAGGCAAGGATTCTGAGGCTCCGTCTAACATACTTTGGACGTGTTGTAAGGAGAGACCGGTCCTTGGAGAAGGACATCATGGTTGGTAGAGTGGAGGAACAGCGCAGGAGGGGAAGGCCCTCTTTGAGGTGGATTTATTCAATGATTGGGGTAATTGGATGGGTGTATCGGAGAAGGTACGATTGGCACAGGACAGAGCACAGTTTAGAGCTGTTGTACATAGGGTCGCTATGAGTCACAAGTGACTCGACAGCACATAACAACAACAACATATGATATGTCATCTCTACATCTAATTCTTAAAACAGTTAATAATAAAAAAATTTTCCCTCTAAAATGAGCTCTCATTGCTTTTGTCCTCATTTATTTTTAAAAAATATATTCATTGAATGGTAAATATTGAGTATACAAAGAAGAATAAGATGATTTTTGTCTTCACAGAGGTGATACATTGACCCTAATGGGGTATAATAAATTACTATATCTGAGAGAAAAGTAAACAAAGAATAGAAGTTTCTGGTCTAGACAGATTATGAACAAAATCAGGAAGCTGTGGGGTCTGTGAAAAAAGGGATCAGGTGGCTGGTATTTGGATATTGATTGAAACAAAGTTATATAAAGGTTTTAGGTTGTAGAGTTAAGTCTTAAACATAATTAGAGCAAATTTTGAGAATCTTTGAGAGCTTCACTAAAAAATATTCTTCATAAAAAATAGAGAATTCTTAAGTATTTTTATGTCTACAAACGAAAGGACCTGAGACTGTTAAGTGATGTTAGCAAAACTTTTTATACAGTAATTAATTCAATTAGAGTACATTTATAGTCATGCCGTTTAAAAATTATCATTAGAAGATTTTTCTGCGATTATTGGTAAATAACTGATTGCTTCCTTTTTTGGAATATTAATTACTTGACATATTTTAAGTAACTTGCTTTATAATTTTTAATTTATTTTTTACAGATACAAGGAATACCACATGGATGGAGAACTAACGGAACCTCTGAAATATGCTGAACAACTTCCTGTAGCTCAGATAATACACCAGGTTTGTGTCCTACTTTATTCTTTGGAAAGAAACAAGATTTTTAATCTCTTAAAAGTAATTGCTTTTGTTAGGTTTTTCAGAATCAATGTGCTATAGCTTAAAGGCATTCCGGGCCATCTTTCCCTATTTATACTGCACCTATTACAGCTGGAAATCTCATTCAAATCACAGTATTAAAAGGCTCCTAGCTGTGTAGCACTAGAATTCTGGCCTTAACTAGATAGAAAACACAGCGTAAATTTTGAATTCTTTTTTATGCATTACTTAATAACAAAAGCTAATATGACATAATTTTCATTTTGAGTCATTGTGTATGTAGTACTTATTAGTGATCAAAAGGACGTCATGCTTGGAAAGATGGAGGATCAGTGGAGGAGAGGAAGAAGCTCAATGAGGTGGATTGACGTGGTGACTTCAGGAATAGGCTTTCGGTGTGTCAGAAGTTATAAGGATGGCACAGGATAGGGCAGAGTTCAGGCTGGCTGTTCATTGGGTCGCTATGAGATGTTCTCGACTTGATGGCATCTAACAACAGCAGTGATCAAAAACATGCAGCCACATACAAAAACCTGGGGGAAAAAATCACTTGGTATCATTTTTAAGTAACTGAAAAGAGGAAATTTTTTTTGAAAAATTTTCTTTTACTCCATTCCATTATCAACATCTATAAAATACAATTGTAAATGTGTTTGAACAATTTTTCCATTCCTAATTGTACTGTCTCTGCATCTCTTCTACATAAGTGTATTCGCAGAGGAGGCAATCTTGTAAACATTTAGAGTTAAATTTTGTAATGTATTTTGACAAAATATAAACTCTGTCCTTTTCAACCAGATTTTAATAATTTTAAATTTTCTATTGACTAGAGTTACAGACTTTATACCTAGTAATCTTTTCCATACTTACAGGTTATAGAAAATAATAAATGCCCTTAAATGTCAGAATTCTTATTCTGAGTGTTTTTTTCTCTGTATGTTTTGTTCAATCAAAAGTATTTTGTAATATGGGTTGATTCAAAGTGCCAGTTGGATCTTTTTGAACGAAAAGTGGCTTATATGCAGATGTTGGCTATATTAAGTCCTTTTATTTACATTAAAATGCAGTATTAAAGTTCTCTGAGAAATTATAAAACATGGTGAGAAATTTACCTCTTTGGGAAGCTCATCTGTGCTTGGTAATCAGGTCCAGTTTATATGTCAGGAATTCCCTAGTGTTGTCAGAGCTTAAGTGACCTAACAGCCTGCAAATGTCACATTTAAAATTCTGTCTTCATGCCTGACTCTCAGTATAAATGAATTAAACAGCAGAGCAGGCAGCAAGTCAATATGTTCTTAACAGTAAGAGTGAGCAATGAAACAGTCTGTGGTTTGTTCAGAATAGGTAAATAGAATCTGCCCAGAACGGTTCACATCGAATAAAATTTGAAACAGGAATCAGAATTAACCTTTATGATGGTTGACCAGATGAAATGTCAGTAATGTTTTTATAGCACGAATGGACCAGTAAACTAGTTGGTTTATGAGTAATCATGCTTTGCTTTTCTATACTCTTTAAATTAAAAAATGACAGTTTTAGATTGTTTTTTTGTTTGTTTGTTAGTACAAAAGACTATTAATTTTAAAATTGAGTTATAAACATGATCATTAAGCTGCTATGATATCTGATTTTGTAAAAGTTCTATTTTTAAGATCAGATTTTGGTGTTGTGGTTATGTACCATTAAGTCAGAACTGACTCAGAGCTGAGCCTCCAGCAGGTTTTCAGAAGCAGTAAATTAAACAGGAAATTGCCCACCCTTCACCCATGGAGTGGTTGGTGGATTTGAATTGCATGCCTTTGGATTGGCAGTACAACTCCTTACCCCTAAGCCACCCGAGCTCTCTCAAGTTATAATAGGGAGATATTTGTTAATTCTGTTCTCAATTAAGGAACAATCAAGAAAGGAAATTATTAATACTAGGTTCTTTTTACTATTAATACTAGGTCAAAACCTGTTCTTTTTATTGTTTCCCTTTGCTATTGAACCATCTTTTACTACTTAGTCTATTCATATGGTATTTGAAAAAAGTATGACTTATGTCATCTGCAGTGAGCAACTTTGAGGAGGTCTAGTGGCTTAGTGGTAAGGAGTTGTGCTGTCAGTCCAAAGGCACGCAGTTCAAATCCACCAGCTTTTCTGTGAGAGAAAGGTGGCCATTCTCCTTTTATGTAATTTACTACCTGTGAAAACCTGCTAGAGGGACAGCTATGAGTTGGTCCCAACTCTATGGTACTTAAAAATAACAACAATAGGGATAAAAAAAAAAATAGTAATAGTGATAATTCAGCCAATCTCACAAAAACTTTTATTTAATTCACAATGTATGTTGTTGTTGTTGTTATGTGCCGTCGAGTCGCCTGCGACTCATAGCGACCCTATGTACAACAGCCCTAAACTCCGCTCTGTCCTGTGCCAGTCGCACTGTCTCTGACACTCCCATCCCAATTATCCCAGTCACTGAATCAATCCACCTCATAGAGGGCCTTCCTCTCCTGCGCCGTCCCTCCACCCTCCCAAGCATGATGTCCCTCTCTAAGGACCGGTCTCTCCTCACAACATGTCCAAAGTAAGTTAGACAGAGCCTCAGAATCCTTGCCTCCAAGGAGCCACCCGGTTTAACCCTCTCCAGGACAAATCTATTTGTTTTCCTAGCAGTCCATGGTACTCTGAATACTCTTCTCCAGCACCACAGCTCAAAGGCATCAGTTCTCCTTCTATCCTCCTTAGTCATTGTCCAACTCTCTGATGCATAACAGGTGATTGCGAAGACCATGGCCTGTATCAGACGCACCTTAGTCTCCAGAGAGACACCACTGCTCTTCAGCACTTTGGAGAGGTCCCTAACAGCAGACTTTCCCATGGCAATGCGCCTTTTAATTTCCTGGCTGCTGGTGCCAAGACTGTTGACTATGGAGCCAAGCAAACTAAAGCTGTGTACAATCTCAATCTCTTCACCATCCATCCTGATGCTGCCAATTGGCACAATGTATAGCTAAGTTATAATAGTATTGTAGTTTATGACTATTTTTATGAGAGAGAGTTCTCATGGCCTAGCCTGTGGGAAGTTGCTCTGTTAACATAAAGGCTATTGGAATCCACCAGCAGCTCAGAGGGAGAAAAATGTGCATTTCCCTTTTGTTTGATCTACAGCCTTAGAAACCTGCTATAGTGTCATCTCTGAGTTAGTTCCAAGTCAGCAGTAGTGCTGCTGCTGTTGTTACGTGCCGTTGAGTTGAGGACGATTCATAACAAACTTATGATTGTTCTTGGTCCCAGCAGTCAGGAGATTAGGAGGCATTTTACACTGAGAAAGTCTGCAGTCAGGGACCTCTCCAAATTAGTGAGGAGCAATGATGTCAGTTTGGGGACTGAGGAGCACCTAACTAAGGCCATGGAATTTTCAATCACATTCTATCACGTTTTCAGTCACATCTGAGAGCTGAACAGTGAATAAGTATGACAGAAGAATTGATGCTTTTGAGCTGTGGTGTTGGAAAAGAGTACTGAATAGCCTATGGACTGCCAAAAGAACAAACAAATATTTCTTGGAGAAAGTGCAGCCAGAGGGCTCCTTCGAGACAAAGATGGTAAAGCTTTGTCTCACATGCTTTGGACAGGTTGCTGAGAGAGCCTATTCCTTTGAGAGTGACATTTGCTTGGAAAGAGAGTCAGTGGAAGAGGAGACCAGGTGAATTGACAGTTACTGCTGCACTGGGCTCTAGAGTGTCGGGAAATTATGAGGATGGCACTGGATAAAAGCGGTTCAGATCTGTTGTTCATAGGGATGCTATGAGTTGTACTCGACTGGACAGTACCTAACAACAACATCATAGCAACCCTGTGAATGACAGATCTGAAACCTGTCCTGTACTGTACCATCCTCACTATCTCTGACATACTCAAACCCACTGCTGCTGTGAGAGATTAGATTAGATTAGATCAGATTAGATTAGATTAGATTGTTGTTGTTATGTGCCATTAGTCCCTTGTGACTCATAGCGACCCTATGTAAAACAGCCCTAAACTCTGCTCTGTCCTGTGCCAATTTCACTGTCTCTGATGCTCCCATCATGATTATCCCAGTCACTGAATCAATCCATCTCATAGAGGGCCTTCCCCTCCTGCGCTGTCCCTCCACCCTCCCAAGCATGATGTCCTTCTCCAAGGACCGGTCTCTCCTCACAACATG